GTCAGGGTCGGCGGCTGGGGGTGGTGCCTGCACCTGCAGCCCGGGCAGCCGCCTGGCTTGCTCCCCGGGGCAGCGGCCCGGCCTGGTCCCCAGGGTAGCCGCCTAGTGTGGTCCCTGGGCAGCGGCCCGGCCTGGTCCCCGGGAAGCCGCATGACCTGGTTCCCGGGGCAGAGATCCGGCCTGGTCCTTGGGGCTGCCGTCTGGCCTGGCTTGGCCTGGCCCAGAGGGCTCTGCCCCGGGTTGGGGAGGACGGGCTCCGTCCAGACCTAAAGAGTAAGGGTCGTTGCTCTAAGGCCGTACCCTTTAAAGAACTGAAGTGGTGTTTGTTTGTTTGTTTGTTTGTTTGTTTTTAACGCTGATGAGCTAACGACTGGCAGCGTCACCAATAATATTATCTGCTGGTTGGTGAGCGTAAATGCCGTTAGGTCCATTAGGCGCAGTAGCTCAAGCAGCCTCACCTGAGAGAGCTGCTCTCATCCGTCTTACTGATACGACCACTGTTCCGACGTGATACCGTTTTGCAGATAAAACAGAGGCTTACAGAAAAGTGAGTTGCCCAAGGTCACTTAACTAGTGAGTGCAAAGTTGGGACTCTAGCCTGAATCTGTCGACCTGTCGATGGAAGGGAAAGAGACCACAGAAAGCTTTACTTCTTTTCTGACCCTCCTTTCAAGAATTACACACCTCCTTCCTGCCCTCCATCCCCTAAGGTCTTTCTTGGTGTGTTCAGCTGGTCTTTGGTCATGTCTTCTGTGGATTTTAAAATTTTGCACACCCAGTTTGTTCGCCACTCTGAACCTAGGCCATGTCATTGCAGGGAAGAGAGGTGAGCCTATCAGGGAGAGATCAGTACCCAACATTGTCATCTCTGCTGGGTATAAACTGTTCAGGTACTTGTTCAGATGGTCCAGTGGCTTCTCTTTCATCGATGTAGGAACAAATGCATTAGATGTCAGTTTGTCGCGGAGCAGATGAGGAACTTTTCCTCCAGGGAAACAGTTAAAATATGAGCCCCATTATTATTATAAGAATAGAATATTATAAGAATAGAACAGAATCCAAACCCTTTCCTAAGGTCCTGACTACACTTTCCAATTCATGTGACCTCCCTTCTGAACATTAAGTGGGGGAACCTTTTAAATTGTGCTTTGTTGTCTGATTTTTATTTTTACAGGACAGACATCTGGCTTTTGGTTAGAAGTCTCCATGGCGAGAGTGGCACTTGGTGGGATGAGCATCTTTCTGAAGAAAATGTTCAGTTTGTTAAGCAGTTGGCCTCTGATGAAAATAAAGCCCAGTTAGCAAGCAAACTCTGTCCTCTGAAGGATGAGCCGTGGCCCGTACATCCTTGGGAACCAGGTGATTGTTATTTTGTGTTTAATGTGTTCTCATCGCCCAGTTGCTGTATGGCGGGCCCATTCAAAATCATTGTGACTTTGTGAAAATTTATCATCTGTTGAAATGATTTTTCATGTCTGAAGTGTGTCTGTTTCATTGGTTTGAGTTGCAGGTTTGTTTCCAGCATCCTGGTCCACCTTTAGTGAATGTCTGGTGGTCATCCAGAAGCTGCTTTGTGCAGAAAATCATTCTGCACTTGTGTTCTTGTTTTCTTTAGATGAAAAATAATATAAAATAAGTCAGGGAAGAAAAGCTGGAAGAGTGTGTGGCCGGACCAGGAGGCATGAGGCCTTTCCTGTCCCGGGTATCGTCTTCAGCTAGGGTTTATTGTGACTGTTGAATCTTATCACGGCCAGAGTTCTTAGTGGAGCAACTTTATCGGTTTATGCAACAAATCTAAGTGTCATTGGGGAGGCCAACAGATTTTAGCAGTACGACCATTTGTGTCCTCCCTGTAACCCCAGCTAACTTCTTAAGATTTGAATCGTACATTTCTAATTAATGAGGCTAGATATGAATTAGTATTAGGAAAGCAAAGCACAGTGATGGATTTATCCTGCCCTGTGAATACACTGCTTTAAATCCAGCGTTTATCAGATAAACTGTTTTGTTTTGTACAGTCCTCTTACATTTATTCTACAGAGATTTATTGAGGACCAGCATGTTATGTCAGGCATCGTTGAAGGCACTCAGATCTGTAAGAGGAACCATTGTGTTTTACTCTGTGAATCCATCAGCGTGTTTCTTATGTGCCTGCTCCTTGTATTGAAACCACAATTTAGGAAATACTGTTTCATTGTGTTGGTGAGTGCTGAAAAGCTGTGTGACTGTTGATGTGGTTTTCATTGCCTAGGTTCCTCGAGAGTCGGCCTTATCGCACTGAAGCTGGGCATGATGCCTTTATGGACCAAGGATGGTCAAAGGCACGCTGTCACGTTACTGCAGGTGAGAAAGACACCCGAGGTATGACGAGTCTGTGTGCCAAGATCTGTTTGTGCAGACCTCAAAGGGCGGTTTGAAGGAAAGGGTAGCGTCAGGCATAAACACTGAAGGAGCTTTACTTCTGACGGTCTCAGCGCAGGTTCCCAGCGGCCAAAATGGTGGTTTTCTCAATAGCGGCATTGGGATACTTGGGGCAGTGAATAAAACCAGTCACAGCCCAGCTCCTTTTAGAGCGACTAGTTTAACTCATAATCAGAGAGTATCTCAGCCCCATTGCTCTGTGCTAACTCAGAATGTAGCCCTCTCTTGTCTGTGCAAGCAGCACTTCATTCTCTGAGGTGAGGTGGACTTCACATTTAAGAATGTGGGGCTTGGGGCCAGACGCCTGACTTCACATCTTGGATCTGTCCCTTTGTGGCTGTTCCTTGGAGCACTGTGCCTTGTCTGTAAAAGATGCACTTTTTATTCTGTGAAAGAAGCTGTATGACCCACCTCAGAAGGTTATTGTGAGGTGTGCACAAGATGATGAAGGTCAAGCCCTGAAAACAGTGTGCAGTGTCAGATAAACGTGAGCTGCTTTGTCTTTATCCAACAATAAAAAGATGGCTGATCAGGTTAGGAGACCCTCATGCCCCAATCACTGTTGACAGGCCGGTTCATTTTGGAGGCCTCGCCTTCGACAAGTGATTAAGCAGGTGGTGGTGGTTAAAGTGAGCACTCAGACCCCCAGGTGTGTCCAGTGCTGAGCCTCACGGGCGGCCTGCAAGCCCCTAGGCACTTCTTGTTGACGTGGGATGGTTAAAGAAAGGATTGCGGTTTCTAGACCTGCTTGAAACTAGTGGCGCTTTCAGGAGTGACGGGTGGGGTTGAAAGTGGAACAGCCACCTCAGGAAGCAGCTTAGCACCATGGTCAAGTTGAACCTGGTGAACCTTGTAGTCCAGCAGTTCCCCTCCTGAGTGTTAGTAGAGAACTTGAACAGGTGCGCACCAGGACACCCAGCAGTGTTTATGTAGTTAGTCCTCCAAAACCAGAAGCCCGGTGTCTGTCACGGTAGGATGAGTGAGTGAATCGTGGTCTGCTTAGGTAACGGAATGCTGGATGGCAGGGAAGACGGAGCGCCCGGCAGTACGGGTGAGCCCTGCAGGTGGGATCTTGAGTGAAAGCAGGAAAACGTGGACAAGTCCATACGACCTGCGTCCACTTAGGGGAAGGTCCGAGCTGGCCGCGCAGACCCGCATCATAAAGCAGCGCTTTCAGGGGGTGGTGATTATAAAGGTCATGAGAACCATTGGCATCGACAGCGGGGTCACGGCGGCTGCTTCAGAGCGGTGCTTCTCAGACTTGAGTACAGCTCAGAGCGACCTGGAGGCCTTACAGTCCCAGGGGCTCTCAGTCAGCAGGTCTCAGCTGAGCCGAAGAACCTGCGTTTCGCCAGGTGCCCAGGGGACGCTGATGCAGCTTGTCTGGGACCACACTTCCAGAGCTGCTGCTCTAGGGATGAAAAAGGAGGGATGGGAGTGAGGGGTGACTGGGAAGAGACAGGGCTTTGGGGACTTCCTGACATGGGTAGTGGTTGCATGCACACTTTTCTTATAAATCCTCATTTGCTTATGCACTTTATGTGTTGTATTTGACAATTGTTTTAAGGTTATTTCCGTATCTTCAGATTGTGGTTGGTTTTAGAGAGATGATGAGATTAAAAAAAAAACTTGAGGGGATTCCTTATTGTCCTAGGGCCTCCTGTGGCTGGTGTGTAATATTAAAATGTATCTCGGTGCATACTTTGTTTTTTTTTTTGTTTGTTTCTTTAGGTGCAAGACTGTCACGTCCTAAAATATACTCCAAAGGAAAATTATAATGGAAAAATGGCAGCTCTAACTGTAGGAGGAAAAACTGTATCACGTTTTCATGTAAGATACATTTTCATTCCTAGAATAGTACATTTCATGAGTTTCAAGTGTGAGTTCTTTGAGATTCTGAATTTAAGTTTTGAGGCTATTCCGTAGCCACAGACTGGTATTTGTCCTGGAGGTTAAGTTATGGATATAGGGGGAGGCAGTCTGGCAGAGCCGTGGAGCCCAGAGCCTGGGGGACTTCGGCTTTGTTCCTGTATCTCCTTTCACTGTCTGGAACAAGTGACTTCACCCTCTAAGCTGCAGTATTTGCCCAGATGTAAAATGGGGATAAAAATGCTACTTACCTAAGAGGTTTGTTACCAGGATTACGTGAGATTTTTCCTATGTGCTTGGCATGTAACAGACACTGAACAGGTGGTAGCTATTTGGTTATTTTGCTGTTTAATTTCATTGTTTTTCTGAATTGTCTCAACTCTTGGCACCAACAGGATGTGAGGATTAATTTTGTATGTACTAGAAGCGGTTCTGACTATTGGGGAGAAAGCTGTATATGAACCCACGTCAGATTTTTTTTAAATAAAGCATATTTCCCAAGTAGAATACAAACAGAATGCCACGTTTGTAGTTTAAATGTGAAAAATCTGCAAGTTAGTATTCTCTATTGAATGTTAAAAGCAGAGAATACCTTCCTAGAAATAGTGATGGTTTTTACTGGCGGCTCCTGAAACATCTTTAGGTATACTAAGACATTGCTTGTCTCCACTCGTCCATTCTAGCTTGTTTATAAAATGGACGTGAGTGGACGCTAGGACGCAGCCTGGGCTGCGCAGCTGTCAGAGCTGGCCCGTGTTTACTGTGAGCCCAATAGTCCCTTGTCACAGATTTGGGCACTTCCTGCCAGGCAGGGAAGCCCTTTATGCCTTGAACGTTTGTTGTCTCATTAACCTTTTCAGCCTCTAAAGCCACAGAGGTTAAGCAGCTCCCCGGCTCAGGGCTGCCCACTGAAGGGGTGGAGCTGCAGTCAGACTCCAAGCCTTCCTTTCTGAGCTGTGTCTTGCTGTCCGCACTCCGGGGCCTGTATGCTGGTGGGAGGGTGGACTGATAAACATGCCATCTGGGTACAGGGCTGTGACTGCGGCAGGCCAGGGCTGGATGGACACCTCCCTCTTCTCATACCCTTCCTGTGTGTGGTTGGATAACTTTTTTGTTTTTTTGTGTATTTTTCCTGAATAAAAAAAGATTCTACCAAAAAAAAAAAAAAAAGACTGCTGATCTGAGCCAAAAATATATAATTCTCTTTTAATGTCAGATGCTACCTTTTCAGTAGCCTTCCCCCAAGTTGCTTTCCATTCAATTGCCTGCTGGCCCTGCCAGCCCTGCCTCCCCACTCATGTGGCTCTGCTGCACAGGACTGCCTGCCGGAGGACCAGGGAGGAGAGTGGGCCTGGTCGCTGCAGAAGCAGAGCCTGTGTGTGTGGGGAGGAGCCCGCGTGGTGTCTGGATCTCTTTGGGGCCCGGTGCAGGGCCGGGGGTGTGGTGAGGGGGTGAAGGGGGCAGCTGTCAGGACGGAGGGCTGAGGAGTTGGGGCTCTGAGGAGCCTTGTGAGTTCTCTAACCAGGGCAGTGCCAGGTGAGCTGTGATCTTGGTTAACTCAGTCAGGAGAACCCAGCACAGGGAGGATGTTCTGGAGGTGATTTTCAGCACTAGGGGAGTTGATAAAAGTGTTTGGCACCACAGCAGTGGCATTGGACTTGGAAGGGGCGGTGATTGTAAAGGACTCAGAGTGAGCGTGTGGGGAGGGGACATGGTGGGGCGGCGCCCTGTGCCCAGCCTGGGATAGGGCAGGGGAAGGGAAGCTGGGAGGAAAGGTGTGTCTGAGGTGTTTACAGCAAATCCAGGTGGAGTTGTGCTACGAATGGTGGGGATACTGGTCAGTACACTGGCGGTGGTTGAAGTCACCGGGGTCCTGTAGCTCAGTAGGACTATCTCAGAATGTTAGAGAACTGAGCTGGTTATGGTTTAATTTTTCATTAAAGGTTCATTGTAATATCTGCTACTAGTTCTTGACAGTTTATTGTCAAGTCTAATAATTTCAGGTCTCAGATAATTCCACAGTAATTAAAAGCACAAGGTAATATTTTTCGAAACTTGTTTTTAATGTCAAATATTTGAACTTTTAAGTATGTCAATGCTTGTCAGCCTTCACGTGAATCATGTGAGTAACTCTTCCGTTTAATGGATGCCACTGTTTTCTGATTGATCATATTAGACAAAAACTTTGTCTTTGACCTTTCATCAGAGTAGGATGTGAAAATGAAGTTCTGAAATTCTTTGTAAGTAAAGCATTTTGGTTCAGAAAGGAAAACGATTTTTGGAACTAAACTATATACAAACTTCCTGTTGCAATTGTAACTGTCAGGGAAGCTGCAGGTGGCTTGGTTATAGAAGGTAGAGACAGAGAGAGCTATGAACATGTAATATCGAACAGCTAAGCATTCTACAGTGAGTTGATTGTATTGGGGTTTTTTATAATAGGGCTACAGTGTTATTTTTTTAATCTGTAAAGAATTCATTCCTCCAAGAAACTAGACTGCTTTTGCTGCTTTTGTGCCTTATACATAAAAACTGATGGAGTATATAGTATTTTAGAATAAGGAGGTTAAGTAGCCTTAAACATTGATTAAATCAATTCATCTTAGGAGAAGAGGCATTTTCATCATGAGAAGGAAATTGCAGGGAACTCTCAAGGCAGAGAAAAAATGCACCCTCATAGGTGGGATTATCCAAGTGTGACACTGCTGTCAGTTTTGTAGATTGCCTTTTGAAATCATTTATCTGGAAGTTTAAAAAAAAGAAAAAAACTGGTGTCACACTGCTGTTGATTACAACTCAACTTGAGCATTTGGTTTTTCTCACAACTGATACCGAATTAGTTTTATAATATTTTGATTTTAAAGGAAGAAGCAAAGTATTCAATTTTAATGAAATCGGAAGATAATTAAGAAGTGTTACCTTTGTTCTCTTTATGTCTCAGTTTATAAATACTTAGGTCAAGATGTGTATCTTGTCCATCTTGTATGACTAGAAAAAGCAAAAGATTTCTCTCAGAAGCCTCCCGTCATACCTAAAAACTGATATTAATAATACGTTTTTTAAATTACCAGGAAGAGTATGTGAATGTCAAAAATAAAATTGAAATCTGTTCTAAAATGTAATAAGTTTCAATCTGATACATCAGAAGAATATTTCAAGGAGCTGCATTTTCAAAACATTTATTGGCATATAATTGACCTACTCTTAGTTGCAGATGCACAGTATAGTGACCTAATATTTCTGTAGTTTATTCAGTGGTCCCTGCAGTAAGTCTAGTTATGATCTGTCACCACACGAAGATGTCACTTAGTTATTGGCTGTATTCCCCGCACTGTAGAATTCATACCTGGGCCTCATTCTTTTGGTAACTGGAGGTTTGTGGTTCTTCATCTCCCTCCCCTATTTCCCTCATCCCCCCTGTGCCTGCCCTGTGGCAGCCGCCTGTTTGTTCTCCATATCTATGAATCTCTCTTGTTACATTTGTTTATTTGTTTTTTAGATTCCACGTATAAGTGAAATCACCTGGTATTTGTCTTTGTCTGACTTACTTCACTTAGTGTAATGCCCTCTTAATCCATCCATGTGGTCATAGATGGCAAGACTGTATTCCTGTTACGGCTGAGTAATATTCCATTGTGCGTATATACTACATCTTCTTTATCCAGTCATCCGTGTGTGAACATTAGGTTGCTGTGTCTTGGCTGTTGTAATTAGTGCTGCAGTGAACATGGGAGTGCATCTGTCTTTGAATTAGTGTTTTGTTTTCTTCAGGTAGATACGCAAAAGTGAAATTGTTGGATCATGTGGTAGTTCTACTTTTAGTTTTTTGAGAAACCTCCGTCATGTTTTCCATAATGGCTGCAGCAGTTTACATTCCCACCAGCAGTGTAGGAGGATTCCCTTTTCTCTATATCCTCACCAAAACCTATTATTTCTTGTCTTACTGATAATAGCCTTTATCCCGTGTGTGAGGTGCTGTCTCATTGAGCTTTATTTGCATTCCCTGACCAGTGACGTTGAGCATCTTTTCATGTGTCTGTCGGTCATCTGCGTGTCTTCCTTGTCTAGTCAAGTCCTCAGCTCATTGTTTTATCAGGTGGTTTGGGTTTTTTTTGATGTTGAGTTGTATGAGTTCTTTGTGTATACATACATATATGTATTTATCATATCTATCATTTGCAGTTACCTTCTCCTACTTAATAGGCAGCCTTTTCATCTTGTTGATAGTTTCCTTCACTGTGCAAAAGCTTTTTTGTTTGGTGTCTCATTTGTTTATTTCTACTTTTGTTTCCCTTGCCTGAGGAGACTGATCCAAAAAAGTTTTGCTAAGACCAATGTCAGAGGTGGTACTGGCTGTTTTCTTTTAGAGTTTTATGGCTTCAGAAGTCTTACATTTAAGTCATTAATCCATTTTGAGTTTATTTTTGTGTATGAAGTGAGACAGTGGTCCTTTTGTTTCTTTTTCATTTAGCTGTCTATTTTTCCCAGCACCATTTATGGAAGAGACTATCTTTTCTCCATCATATATTCTTGCCTCCTTTGTCGTGGATTCATTGACCATTAAGCATGATTTTATTTCTGGGCTCTGTGTTCTGTTTCATTGATCTGTATGTCTTATTTTTGTGTCAGAACCATACTGTTTTGATTACTGTAGCTTTGTAGTGTAGTTTGAAGTCAGGGAGTGTGATAACCTCCAGCTTTGCTCTTTCTCTCAAGATTGTTTTGGCTATTATGGGTCTTTGGTGATTCCATATAAACTTGAGGATTATTTATTCTGGTTCTGTGAACAATGCCATTGGTTTTTAATAGGGATTGCATTGAATCTGTAGACTGCCTTGGGTAGTGTGATCATTTTAACAGTATTCTTCCAGTCCATGGACACAGTATATCTTTTCATCTCTTCATTTCATCTTCAATTTCTTTCATCAATATCTTACAGTTTTCCAAGTGTAGCTCTTTTA